ATTCATTACAAAGAAAGAAATATTAACTAAAGCCATGTCAAACAAGTTCACTAATTATTTTGTATGTGATTTTATTTTCAGCGCTGTTCGTCTACATGTTTAAGGTTTCCGCCTTACTAAAGAAACATTTTCGGAAACTCTCATACACGTGCTCATTTGAATTGTTCCGTTTCATGTTTCTCATTGGACTTTTTCACTCTCAGACTTGCTACAGATGTAGATTAGTTCGCTGAGAATGTCAAATCATTTGAGAATCAAAATATCAAAGATAAAATTACTTTATGTAAAGGGTGAAGTTAACAAACAGTGATCAATATATACATAGGCGTCGGTATCGGGGGGGGAGGGGGGAGTCCCCCCCCCCCTACACAGTTTGTTTTGCAAATATATACATACTATAGGCATTGAAAATTGGGGTTTACCTTTTTTTATTGCCCCCCACTTTCAATTAGCCCCCCTTTTTAAATTGCCCCCCCCCCTTCCACTTTAAATTTGCTTCCGATGCCTATGTTTATATATATATTGTGTTACTGTGTTATTTTTGCTCCTTGTTATTTTTGCTCAATTACACCCATAATACGGTTTAATTACCATTTTAAGTTCTCCTAGACATTAATTAAAAAAGAAAAATAACACAGTCTAATATTTTTTTATACCGTATATTCCTTTTTACTATTGATATTTTCATGGAAAGGCCGGTTTTCCCTAACTTTTATTTGCTTACATTATGTTAAAAAGATCACAATTATTCCATTTTTAATGTTATTCAGATTAATTGTTATTTTGTTATTTATTTATTTCACGAATGTTATTTTTTTTTATTTCAACTCCTACTTGTGATCTTGGTAAAACATAGTTTTTTTTACAATTACCTTGCATTGAAAAATAGGACAGAAATGATCTTTTTGAAATTAAAATTGACTATTTTATAGAAAAAAACAACAAAATAACTTCAATATAAAAGTTAGGGTAATCTCTCATCTCAGACTGGGTCATTGATCCTTAATACTACATAATTACTTATGCATAGTAGCTCTAGGTACAGTTATCTCTCTTATATTAGTATCACTAAACCTTAACTAATGTTATAAATAACTTAATATTTTACAGTTATTCTGTGTGTTAATCCTTTTGTTTTGTTTTTGCTTGTTGTTACGATTTACAGGATAATGCCATCTTTAAAAACATGTTTGTTTGCCTGTCCCAATTATGGTAAAAAAAATATGGATTGGTAGGTATAGTAGCATTTTTGCCTTTGAAATTTTAATAAATACATGTTATCAAGATGAGAAAAAAATCCTTTAATTAAAAATTATCCTTTTCCTGGAGCTAAAAAAAGTTTTGAGTTGAATATTTTTATGCAATCGGTTGGGAGAGGGCAAATTAATACTATTTTAAAGATGGCCTAATATATATTTTGTGATTTGATGTTTAATTTATTCAGATAGGCCAAAATATTTTGATCTGTGTGGTATGCAACTATTTACAATCATTTTATGTTTTATCACTGCTTTTGTATTTTAAATTAATACACATGTTGAAGCAATGTAAGCTTTTTTACTGTAGTTTATAACTAGATCAATACAAATTCAAAGTCATGGTCCCCAATTACGCACATATTATACACTTGATAAATGGTCATACTAGTAATTTATCTGGATTTATCTCGCCCTTACAAATTCTCTACCCATAATAAATTATTAAAGTCTAGACAGGTCGAAATTTATATACATGTACTTGAAAAGAATTGTCATCTACATCTGAAATTTAAATTTTCAAATTTTATTTGAGAAATCTGTATATTAGTTGAACCTCCTCCCTTCTAGCAATTTAATTTGCAGTTATCATTTTAATTAAGGAATGAATTTAATAGCTACCCATTTTATACGGTATAAACTGGGTTGGAGCAGTTTACGTTTTATAAAACGCGAAGCGGTTTATAAAAAAAGCGTAAACTGATCCAATCCAGTTTATACCGTATAAAATGGGTAGCTATTAAATATATTGCTTATAATTTAATTTTCATTCATTTGATGTTAAAAAAAGATGGTTGTTGTTACAAAATGACATTAATTTGTACAAAATTTGAATGTATCATCAGGCGGATTGATACGTTTTTGACGCAAGTCATTGTGACGTAGGCAACCCATTTTATACGATTTAATGTAATTTTTTATCAATCAAATACAGGGTTACAACCAGAATTAAATTATTTAAAAATAACTTATTTCCTAAGTTAACTTCCATAAGACATTACACCAAATAATAAAATTCAATATTTTAAAACTATCATGTTCAGAATTCAAATGCTTTCATAAATTTAAACATTCATTATTTCAGAACAAAAACATCTTGCATCGCAGCCATTTAAGCATTCAGTAAAAAGTTCAGTATAAATTCAGAATTTCAATACAAAGTATTATATCTAACCCTCTACTTCAGTCCATTTTGCCATTTTAATACCTTTGGGGGAAAAGGGAGTTGGTATTTTGCCGTCATCTTGTTTTAAATAACTCCTCTTGAGCATTAAAGATAAATCCCCCTCCCGTTAATCTTCAACAGGTTCATCTCTATATTTTGTAGACATTATAATTTCTTTTTCTTCCTAATTTTAATATACAGAGGGATATGTCATTTTTAAAGCGTGTATAAAATCATATTTTCGTAACATTCTAGTGTATATGAAGCAGAAAGTTTTGCAAAAAAAAAACAAAAACAAACAAACAAACAAACAAACAAACAAACAAAAAACTAACAATTAACACTGCACACTGAAAAAAAAAATGTTACGAGTGTAGTTCGACTTTCCTCGACAATACATTTTATAGAAAATATACAGAATCCTTGACCAAAGCGCCTATGTAATAAAGTAAAATGTATAAATGGACATCACAGTGCAGAAATAAATTGTATAAGTATTAGGTACGCCGGTCCTTCTGAGAGAGAGAGAGAGAGAGAGAGAGAGAGAGAGAGAGAGAGGGGGGATAAAATGAAAGGATGATTATATAAGTTCATTTTCTGGCCCACGATAAAATCACTTGAAAATGAAATAGCATTTAGGTACATGTATAGGAAAAATTTACACATTATGTGCATAAAGTGTTGGATAATATATACCTCCATCACCTGCATACGGAGTGTATATATCTCAGTTGATTCGATAGGCAAGAGCTTGCTCTACGTATGAACAATTACTAAAACGTGGAAATTTATGAACAAGCAAGTTGATGGAACAAAAATATCAGCCGTCTCGTTTAAAGTCATCATTTCGTAAGTTCTATGGTCGATACAATGATTTTGTCAGGAAATATAAATTTATCATTGAGTCAAATGCTGACTGACGTTTTTCATAATAATTGTTAGTCCATTATTCATACACTGAATTGACGACGTATTTTTCCGAGATTTCCTGATCATGACAAGGAGCACACGGCGGGTGTGACCAGTCAGCAGGGGATACTCACTCCTCCATGGCACCTGACCCCACCTCTGATGTTTCGGAGGATTGCTCTGCTCCTATTTTGTATTGTTTTATGGACTTTGAGATTGAATACTGTTCGTTATCTCCACATCCTTCTTACATGTAGACAGTCATCGAAAATAAATTAAAGGATTGAAAAGTTAACTTTTTTACGAAAGAAAACTGCATTATAACAATAACGCCTCTGGTAATCAATTAAAACTGACCACCTTCCATACTACGTGTTCCTTGTTCCTTTGGACTTTTTCCTGCGTCCGTTTCGAGGAGATGGGTAGGGGATAGGTGTAGGAGAATCATTAAAATGCCAATTTGATCTAAGCGCTCACCTATATACATGTAAAAAACAAATTGAACATACCTTCCTATATGGTTTTGACATTGCAGTTATATATTTCTTCAGACTTTACGTCTAATATATTTCTTGATTTGAGTTTTTTCTTGAAGTAAAAGATATAGAATATTTTAAATTCTATTTCCAATTCACAGTGAAAACTGTCTAATTCAACACATTGTGCATGTCGGATCATCTTCTTTCTAACATAATTAGCCAATGTGTTTAGATTAAGAAGACCTTTGCAAGTTTATAGTTTTATTATAAAGTCACAGCAAAGGCAAAAAACAATGGTATATAAATATACAAATACATATAGATCTCAGAGTCAAGATGGTGAAAGTTCGCATAGTCATTGCATCACAAAGGTCTCAGAGCTAAGTTCGTTAAAGCTCTCATAGTCCGTCTCAGAGCTAAGATGTTAAAAGCTATTGATACTCAGTGCGCTTTGTACAAAAAGCAGCATCATAGGGATAACATATTTGGTAATAGTAACTAGTGAGTTAGAGTGCCACTTTATTAATATTATTAAATGTACAGTCCGCGCCTCACTGAAGCTCTGTCTCCCATCTCCTTATAGGGTTTGGCAGTGTTCACTGCTTACATTAACAGTGTCAATGTTCGAGAACAACACATCGTAAAAACTAATTGTCCGTCAAATGAAGACGCTCTCTTACTGAATCCAATCACTCAGAGTTCGTAAACAAGTTCGTAATTAAGATATTATTGTCCGTTGTTCAACACACTGATAGTATCCTTTATAATTCATATCACAATATTAAAAGATAGATAAATGTACTGTACAAATTAATATATCTTAAAAACCTATTATTTATACGCTCATTGTGTTACATTTTGTATTTATGAGCTCTTTTATAAATATTGTTTTGCTTATGCCAAGAAATATTACGATTGGCATTACATAACTGAATTTGGAAGTTTTATAATTAGTTATATAATCAAGTCATATCTCTAAAACAGTTGAATTTCCATTAGTCGTTTCAAACCGGCGAGGCAAACCTCTTCCAATTTAATGAAACAAAAGAAGGATAATAGAAGGTTCAACAAATAAAGGCCTCTGCATGAGACAAACCAACAAGATGTTAAAATAAACTAAACGAATTTTTTATTCAAAGATTTGTAGTATGCTTCTTTAATAATAAGTTTTATCATTCATACAAAAATTTTAAAAGTACTTTATAAGAATTAATAAACACAACACATACTGAGTAAAATATAAATGTGCGTTTCATCGGTTGTATAATTTGATGTCCAAAACTAGCAACTGTTTTCACTTGTTAACATTTTGGGTGTTTCACACGCACTTCTGAGATCTGTAGTTTTAGTACTCCCTGTCTTTTCCTTAAATACATTTTTGTACATAAAAAGTGTCCTCTTATTGCAAACAAAACCCAGGAATATGAACACGCCTTGTGATGTGTTTAAGACGGATATAATGTACGTAAAATAACTTGGCGGTAAAATACCGTCTAAGATCTGCAAAAGCCAGAAGACTCCTGTTATAGGAAATAAGCGTACACATATCAAAAAATCGTTCCTTTCGGGTTTATTGTTAGAAACTGTTGGAGAACGTTTAATTGCACGTATCGTCTGTGTAAAGAAAAACACGTTAATGATGCAGAGTAAACCAACCGGAACTAGAAAAGTAATTATCAAGGACATCATTCCATCTATGAAACAGATTTGCTTTCCATAACCAACATTCTTCCGACTTGAAAACATAGCAATCATATTCCCCATAACAGTACAAAGTGGAAGGAGAAAGATGTAAATGCAGTACTTCATAAACAGGTACTTGTTCATCAGCAGTGGCACTCTGGCCTGAAACACCCGATACATGTGGAAACAACAGGTGTTCATACTCGTAAAGGATGAGAGCCAGAGATAGTGAAGAAGAATACCTACGACGGTACATTTTGTGCTGTTCTTGTCTTCCCCGTAACTCGCCAGAGACACAATATTGATGACAAAGATGGTAGACACAAGAACCATTATCGTTTTTCCTGGAAGTGATCTTAGTTCACGAAAGAAGCAATACGTGAGGAACGTTATCAATAGACATACACACGACAAGATAGAAAATACAGCAGAGAGTTTACTGAAAATTCTCAAATTCTTTCCCGTTTTGAATTTAGTCAGCAGGTCATCAACACAAACTCTGAGAGTGCCATTCTCTGAGATATCGGCATTAACAGCAGACAGAGAAATATCGTAACTCTTTAAAAACAACGCGTTTTGAGTGCTATCAAATTCAAACTCCTCTAATTTCAATTCCACCTGTTTGCACATTAATGCGTCAGTGATATGAGCTGCACGATATTGAAATATATGACTCCATAATGAACCATAATTTGAATTCGAACATCGATCTTTCTCCGTTATTAGTTCTGTTATGTTGCTGTTATTTGTCCCTAATGAAAAATATTTGTTCTTCAAATCAAACAAAATAAAGGTATCATTGAAGATATATTCCATTTTAGTTTCAGTAAATCGTAAAAGTAATCTTTCAGTATCTTGTCTATGAACAGATTCATTGATGAATATTGTTGAGTGCATCCATCCATGGAATTTTCCGGAGTCATTTTGGATATATTCCATACGGAAGATATTGAAATAAATATTTTGTGTTAGCTTAACGTTTTTCTTTATTTTGAATGGTATCAAGTCTGTAATTAAATCTTGAATATTTTGTACTTAGAGATTCCCTTAAAAGTTATATCCAAGTTATATCGAAGATTTTTGGTAACCGAAAAGAGCGGGATGCAGCTTTCTCTATGAGATAAATACTTTCCGGGAAAACATGTTATATTCCTGCAGATTCCCTGAAAAAAAAATTGTGTGTTAATTTTTTTAATATCTTTATGACAATAACTTTTCCCTATCAGAAGAAAATGAATTAAAAAGAGATTACTAAGAAAGACACCTATATAGAGATTACCTATATATTAAGACACCATCCTATATAATCTAAAATCACATATTTTCTTGGGGTCAAATTTTTGAGACTTGAGGGAAAAAAAATATTAGTTTGTTGGGATTTGATTTTGTGGTTGGAGATTGTTAATTATTGCATAACATTTCTAATGGAAAGAATTCGACAATGAAACATGGAATGGATCGTAGATTTGGTCATCTCAACAGGTCCGATAACGAAATAACTTACATGGAATGAGTCGGAGATTTGGACATTTGAACAGATCCGATAATGAAATAACTAACATGGAATGGGTCGAAGATTTGGACATTTGAACAGATCCAATTAAAAAAAAACTTACATAGAATGGGTCGTAGATTTGGTCACTTGAACAGATCTGATTTAGCAGCGCATCGAAATCCATGTCTTCATAATCATCACTGACGGAAAATAAATTGCGCAGCAATGGATACCAAACAAGGGAATTTGAAACAAAGTTCTCTTCTTCTTCTTTAATTCTACCCCTTCCCCCGCGTATCCCTGAAAACGCGACGCCATTGCATACTGCACAATAGAGATTCTTGTAGGGGGCATAGAAGTAAACTTTTGGAAAAAATTCGCAATGATCTCCATCACTAGAAGTATCTGGACACTTATCAATCGTAATCTCAAGAGCTCTATATGGGTTGCACATAGCGCAGTAAACGTTTTTATATAAATCCCCTCCAAACTGATCTGGCCCTTTCCAGTTATGAACGCTAGTGTATGGAAGATCTTCGCATGCCCAACTTACATCTAAGTCTGTCATTGGCCAGTGTCCCGATTTGTTGCATTTCTCTATAAGATGAGGCATGATCTCGTCACATTTTCGACTGTTCGTGGCTGGATAAAACGTCAAATTGCAATCAGCTCCTCGTAAAGATTTGTAAAAATTACTATAAAGCAAGAAGTTTGTGTGTTCAATATATGAAAAACAATGTGATTTTATCGTCCACGGTTTGTAGTTTTTTTCTTTTCGAGAAGCACTACACAGTAAACAGTACATATTTAAATATGGAATGCCTGTCGATAAATCGGTGACAGGGTGAATAGAAAATGCGTCTCCCGGCGGTTTCTTACACCTGTCGCCTATAAATTCCGGATAACTATCTACGCCATAACACCCATTCGTCACTAAACTTTCGTTAAATGTTTTTTTAGGTTCCGATGTCGAAAATATTTTTTCTTTTAAGCAGGTTCTAGGATACATCAGGAACATATCTTTACAGCAGCGATCATAAGTGCTTTCATTATTAATAAGGAACATACATGATGCATCACATGAGCAATTAGTATATTTCATAAGCTTTGTTGGAATTTTGTATTCACCACACGTTCTCGATACATCCTGCATTGAAAACGTTTTATGCACAAGATTTGTTAAATCACTATAATTGTGTTTCATCAATACTACACCACGTGATTGATTTATTATTTTTATTTCTCCGAACTGTTCAAAAACTTTTTGTTTTATTAAAAGGAAATATTCCTCTAGAAATTCCTGCACATTGATTTCAAAGAAAAATATAGGCACGGACGACCCGTTACGAAATAAAAGCTCAGTATTCATGTCTAAGCTTACATCGAAAAATGGAAATTTCGATGAATTTGGTCGGTTACACAAATAACAAAATAAGTTCTTATATGGCAATGTTCCAGGATTATCTCGGTAATATAAACATGCGTTATTTACTGTACGGTTAAAAGTATCCCACAGTCCACTGACGTTGCACTGGGATATTGTGTTGACCGCAGTAAATATTGGATTACACATTTTACAAAACATATTTTTGAACATTGTGTCATTATTAAAGTAATCGGCGTCACATCCATATTCAACATTATGTATATAATGTTTCCACGTCCCTGTTTTATTACAAGCATTAAAATATTGCTCGTTTTCTTTGTAACAGTTGTAAGAGATATTTTCATTTGGAGGATATGACTGTAACACACATTCACGCGCAATGGCATTTTTTATGACATCATCAAAGGTTGAAATGAAATTGATGTCCAGAAATTGATCACAGAATATATCGATAGGCCAGGTAAAAAAATTGAAATCATTGTTGCAAATTGCACAAAACCGGTTGTAATACGTTCGAGATGTATTGTAACTGGTCACCGGTGGGTATTTTAGTTTATCGACGTCATTGGTGACATTTTTGCATCTTTTGAGAACATCACTCTCTGCGTTGCGGGGACAAGAGTCAACCATTAAATATGATGTTCTTTGGTTTCTTTCAGGGTAGTTTGATGACGCATTTACGATTGTGACATTCTTACAGGTCGGTACTGGGGGAGAAAAGAACACATCAGGACAGCAGTCACCTCTGACGTAACACTCCTGATCGCAAAAACATGGCGGACAACGCGGGTATAGTACTGAATCCTGGACTTCCCAGGGAAACAGGGTATTATTTAGGTAACAAAAATGTCCAGTTCCGCACAGAGTCAAAATTGGTTCAAGTAACTTCGGGACTTCTATATCCTCCATGCTCACGTATGATTGAAACACCACACAAATAAATATGCTGTAGAGTGTGATCCGCTGCATCACTGGTCAATTGTTTATATCTGCGAGCTTTCTTATGTATTAGAAATCCTCTAGTATAGAGATTATCATGGATATGATTCATGACAATATAATAAATTAAGTGTATCTCATCAAGTATTTATGAACAAATCCCTTCCAATCAATATGTTTATGATTACTATAATCATACTAATGGTATCTGGTGTTGTATGAAGGCATACGTCCCATCAAACATCATATAAACAGATTTCATTTAATAATACACGTCTATTTTAAGCTTAATTTTCTATAACATTTATACTGCAGATCTGTAGCTTGCTGGTCTGACGAATTTGGGATGGAGACCAGGGAGCTACAGTGCTACCCACTATATTCTTTTCCTGATGAAAGCATGGCATTGAATGATGAAGACTATATTTGTTCTGTTAAATATTAAAAAATGACGCCTAAATGGAGTTTTATGAAGAGACTTACCTTTACAATTGACGACTGACTTTTACAATTTTAACATAGACAAACTCCAATCACTAAAATGTAAAAGTCAGCTGTCAAATGTAAAAGTAAGTCTCTTCATAAAACTCCATTGTGCAATATTTTTCAGAATATTTATTAACAAAAAACTGAATTTTGATATTAATTCTTGCATATACGTTATATAAGACGTTATCTAAGACGTGCTATTTTCCAGGAAAGTACTAATTATACAGTGGATGAAAGGCATTTAAATACTTAGAATTACTGATAGTCAGATTTATCAGTTAAATGTAAAAGTATATCTAAGAAGCACCTCAAACTCTCGTAGCTTGAATTTACTCCGGTAGCAAGTGGTATGTTTTGATAAGTTCAATAAAATTTAGTTTAAGTTAATGTAGAACACTTATAGGGACGAATTCTTTGACAAATAAAATGAATACCAGCCTGTGTCCTGTTAAAATATAAAGAACTCCTCGCCTCGATGCACCAATATCCGGTGTCGCTATTACACAGTCCATCCCTTTGTGACATTCTTTCTGTTCTTCCGTCTGTAAACTTTTCACATTTTCAACCTCTTCTCAAGAATCACTGGGTCAATTTTAATGAAACTTGGTACAAAGCATCTTTTGGTGTAGTGAAATTCAAATTTGCTTTCGGAGTTGCATGTACGATGTACGATTAAACCAGAAATTTCCGAGTATTCATTGCGGTCTCTGGTTTTATCGTACATCTATAACCCAACCGGAAGTAAATGTATCTTATCAGATGTCTTAATTTGTATCGAGGTAATTTTTGAGGAATGAATGAGTGGTTTACAATAAAGAGGTTCGACCAGAGACTTCTGAAATGATTTTATTGACAAGAAAAGAGTCTTTCGAGGCGAACGATGCCATTAAAGCTGTACCGGTACTTGCAAGTGTTTTAAATGTAAAAGTAATTTACTTTTTTATATCATCCCCAAACAACCCAATAATTTTAATACACTGTATGTATATCACTGTTTTACATAAATATATGTATGTACTTTTGAGAAGAAGATTATATAGAACTCTTTCATTTTAATCGATCAGAGCATGTTTCAAAAATCTAAAAAATCTAGATTTAACTTTGCAATTAGTTACGTTCCGTTCTTTTCATCAGTATTTGCATTAAATATTCAGATTTTTTTTAAAAATAAACAGCAGTTAAAGAATTATAAGCTACAAGTTTGGATTTACGAGTACTTGGCAATCTACACGTAAGACGTGTTAAAATTCGCCAATAGCAAAATTGATGACGTAATGCACATATTTCTTTTGATACATGTACGCGTACAAATTGCTTTGCTAAACTTCTCTATTATACTTTGTACGACAAAAGTTATCCGTGACTGTGATTATGCATGTAATCGAGACCTGTGGATCCATCTATTCTCTCTTCAAAATTCAAGTTTGCTCTCTGGTATTTAAACTTTCTTTTTATTTTGAGCCCCTAAAATATAATCGATTGATCTATCAATGGATATTTTTCATTAATTTTGTGTGAGGTGCACTCATCCTTTGAGTTTAAAAATTTAATATAAAAACCATTCATTTTAAAGAATGAGATTTGAAGAAAAATAAAAGTCACATCAACACGTTTAAAAATTGTTTTGTATATGATTTTATTTTTAAACGTCAATCGCTGTTGGTCTACATATTCTAGGTTTACGCTATATACTAAAGAAGTATTTCTGGAAAACTCGTGAACATGTTATTATTTCAGATATTTTGTTTCATGTTTCTTATGTAACAGCAAGCTATTAGGTTAAAGGCCCTTCCTTCGAATTCTGAATACCTTCACTTTATTTCAGTCCTTTTCAATATTAGCAGAATTATATCTTGAACATTATTATGCAACACATTTGACTTTTCACAAGTAGGTGTCCGCTGGGATATCCATGTCAATTTATATAAGGGTCAAAAGGTTAACAGGTATTAATCTTTGCTCCTTACTATTATATTTTTCTTTTGCCATATAACACCCACAAAACGATTACACAACGGTTTTTTTTTAAATTCGCCTAGATAAAATTTTATCTAGATTCAATTAACATAACACATAGCTTTTGGGGATAGGAAGTCGCCCTCTTTTTACTATTGAAATGTTATCTCAGTATTTTAAGACCGACTGTACACCTACATGCAAAATCAGACAGACAAAACAGAGAAAAAGTGATGAAAAAGAAAACAAATAACATTTAATCTCTACGTATAAATTACAAGAAAGAGAGAAGATTAATGTCCCAGATAGCATGACTATGTTGGGCCAACAGTGGCAAAAGGTTGTATGGTTGGCGTTGGGGGAACAACGTTGGGCCAACGTTGGACCAATGTTACCATGCCAACCTTCTCGACCATGACATACGCAAGTGAGTTAAGGCTAAATATAGGTTTTTCTATGCAAATGAGCCAATAAAAATGCATAAATTGTGTATTTTATGTACAGAGAAAGTTCTAATTGATTTTCTTATACAGACTTAGTACCTACAGTATATTAATGCAAGTGCACATTATGACGTCATATTATGACGTAATAGTTCTTTCCCATTCAAGGTAATAAAACACATCATCAAAACAACGTCGGCGCAAGGGCATAACCTATTTAATTTAAAATAAATAAAGTATAATATTAAGGAAAATATTCTTAAAATTAAAAAAAATTGCTTCACAAATCCTATGCTATTCTTCAATCGATAAAAATTTTACTAAACTTACACTGGACTGTACATTTTTACCCTGTTTCAACTTAGAACTGTACGAATAGTAACCAAACAATTGCAGTGTCGACATTTGTGCAACAATATCTTAAAACTATGGAATATTCTGCTTTTCTTTATACCTTGTTTCTGTAAAACAAAGTAAGGTATGCCCTTGCGCCAAAGCGATTTTGTTGATGTTTCTTATAAACTTGTGTAGTAAAGGCTGATGACGTCATAATACGACGTCATAATGTGTACTGGCAATCGCATATCATGGGTACCAAGAATGTATTAGAAAACAAGTCTTAACATTTTCTTTGCGGTATGTATAGCAATTATTGGTTTAAATTAATCATTTTGCATAGAAACCTCCATACGTAGCCTTAACTCACTTGCGTAATTCTTCCGTTGACCCAACGTTAGTCCAGGTTAGCAACTTCCATTAACTTTACTTTCCAAGGAAGGAAGGAAGGATGTTGATGTTGGTCCGACGTTGGCCCAATATTTGTAATATACCCTCAAAAAGTGTCTTTTAAAGTTGGTAGTAGTATGTTGGCCCAACGTTGGCCCGATGTTTGTAATACACCCTTAAAGAAAATGTCTAATCGAGTTGGTAGCAGTATGTAGGCCTAACATTGGCCCTTTGCTTGTAATACACCATTAAAGGAAGTGTCTTATCAAGCTAGTAGTGGTATGTTGGCCCAATGTTTGTAATATACCCTCAAAAAAGTCTTATCAAGTTGGTAGTAGTACATGTACTAGTATGTTGGCCCGATGTTAGCACGAGTGTTCTTTTGTTAAGGTGTTCCAAAGACGCAATATTTTTATTGGGCCAACGCTGGCCCTATTATAATACTGCCAACTAAATGATGTGTTAATTTTAGCTGCTGAGCTTTACGTTGGGAACAACGTTGGTTCTAATATAAGTATTAATTTAAATGCACTGAAATAATTAAGAGTACATTCTATGTCCATGCTTTTAACTGGATGACTGTTTTTGTTCAGATCTGATATTTTCAACATTTTAACTTTGAACAAAAGTGATCACAGCACCAAAGAGAGTTTTATTATATTTTTTGAATTGTGGGCATGCATGCTTATTTATTTGAAATAAAACCCTTGAAATAATGAATTTTTACATGAGCGTTGTTATCATGAGAATTTAGAGAAGACTGAATAAGTTCTCAGGGACAGGATGTAAATGAAGCCCAAATATACATAAATCAAAATGACACAGCTTTATAATCCCAGATAGCAGAATGTTATTGGACCTTTGTTGGGCCAACAAGCTCCTTATGTTGGGCCACTGTTTGAATTCAACATTGGGCCATCGGTAATTTGCTCATCGGCCCTTAATCAAACCAACTTGTTGGCTTATTATTGGGCCAATGTAACAGTTAATATTGGGCCACTGTTAGGCCAATGTATTATTTCAATGTTGGGCAAACGTCATTTTTGTACAATTGGGCCATTGTAAGCAACTAATGTTGGGCCAACGGTAATTTGCTCATCGGCCCTTAATCAAACCAACTTGTTGGCTTATCGTTGGGCCAATGTAACAGTTAATATTGGGCCACTGTTGGGCCAATGTATTTTTTCAATGTTGGGTAAACGTCATTTTTGTACAGTTGGGCCATTGTAAGTAATTAATGTTGGGCCAACGGTAATTTGCTCATCGGCCCGTAATCAGACCAACTTGTTGGCTTATTGTTGGACCAACGAACGGATATCATTGAGCCATTGTTGGGCCACTTATTCTTTCAATATTAGGAAAACATCATTTTTGGGCCAACGTTGGTTTGTATCTTATTGGCTCTCCATCATGACAACTCATTTGCTCTTCACTGGTTGACCATTTGTCCTCAAAATTGACAAACAAATATAAACAATAAGGTTATACTAGTTTTGTAGTACAGTTTAATTAATGGTAAAAACCCTTTAATACTATCTTGTATGCTATATATGCTAGATTAATAGTTTAATACATATTCAAAATATCTCATAGAAATGC